ATTATTTTTTAGGGCACCTCTCATTTATTGATCAAATGGTTGTTTACAACAATAAAATTATATATAGGGGACTCAATGCACATTCATTAATCAACCCCAAGCCTAACTCTCAACAGTCTCCAATCTTCTGAAGCATAATGAACAAGTTCTTACATGGTGAATAAGTTCTTACATAGTGAATAAATTCTTACATGGTGAACAGTGCAAGGGCAGTCATATCACAGAAACTTTTGGTTTTGATCACGCATCATTTGAACTATAAACAAGTCAAATATGATTATTCATTTGATTTTTATACTTGATTTATATATGAATCCCACATTTCTCCCTTATTTTTTTTTTAAATAAAATGCTGAAGTGGTAGGTAGATGCAAGATAAAGATAGAAAGCATCAGTTAGTGCTGTAGGAAGGCAAGTGTAGATGATCAGCTCTGTGCCTATAGACTAAGTATTAATCCAAGCTAGACAAGGGCAACGAAACATCCACGGATGCAGAGGATTTCTCTCAAAACAGGGGGGGGGTGAGGTTCTAAGCCTCACCTCTGTTGGCCCCCTGCGACTCTGCCTGTCTTAGGTTGTTCCTCCCTTGAGGAATCTTACCCATCTCTGGCTAACCAGCCATCTTCTGGAGCCATAAGGGAAATGTAAATTTGGTAAGTGAGAGAGAAGCAATATTCTTTGAAAAGGTTAGCTTTTTACTTCTTTGCAGATTTATGCCCTGTGGCTTCTATGCCCAGCACTTGTCTTAAGGTATCTTTACCACTTGAAAGAATTATGATACTTGGTAATTTTAAATATGAGGCACGAATTCTACTAAAGGGCTGTAATTAGGAAGGAAGAAGAAAAGCTATAGAAGTAACAGACAGAAGAAAACATGAAAAGATTGATTATTTCTTTGATATAACTTCTTCTATGCCCTTTATTCTTCATTGAGTCCCCTAGTCTGACCACCCATCACAAGCTTTTATCATCTTTATTTCATAATCAGTTGTTCCATGTCTTATCTCTCATGCTCTATTGAGAACTTTTTATTGATAAAGACCATGGCTAATAGTTCCTATTACAGTGGTGAATGCATCTGGAGAAAGTATATGTATTTTCAGTATCTTCTAAGATAGATAACTACCATCTATGACTGGCATAGGAAAAGATCTGGATTGGAAGTTGATAGGGAAGACGATCACAACTTGCCTCAGAGTGCTTAATAACCTGAGCTTAACCAATAGGAAACAAAAGAACTGAAAAAGTGGCAGCCCTTTTTGAATGAGCTACCAGGGACTAGCTATCACATTTTAGTACCATTATGTATGGTATTAGTATGCCTGAGTTCTGAGAGCCACGAAGAAAAGATAGATTTTGGGAGCAAACATCTTTAATATGACTCAGCAAAAACAAAAACGGAAATAGCACTCAGAAGTTGATAAATATCCACTCTCTAAATCAACTTCAGTCCTGAATTAGAACTTAGTGGCTCTGTAATAGGAAAGGATCTAGATTGTCCATGAATGTGAGTACACATAACAGTACATCTTTGGAGTTATGGAGACAGAAATGGTCGAGAATATATCTTTTAGAATGAATACCTTTACTGGGCAAAACTAGGAGTTGGGAGAAAATCTAATACTACATTATTGCTAGTTTTACAAACAAAATTCTTTTGAAACATAATTTAAAGGTTCTTAATATTAACATAGTGTATGGACCCAAGAGGTCATAACTGTCTGGTTCCTTTTAGACCAAAATAGTCAACTAGATACAAAATTAATTTGTAGAACTTTCAAGGTGCTATGTCTTTAATATGCACATTTTAAACTAACTAATAGAAGAATATAGAAATAGAGGTGAGGGGAGGAAAAAATTTTAAGATATCATAAGATACATAGTCATGGAAAGAAATTTAAACAACAGGGCAAAATCTCAAAAAGATATGTCACTCACATGATTACCTGTTTTTTTCAGACCAAGAATATCTGCCAAAAACAAATGATTGCAGAATGGTAACAAACCTGAGAAGCCCATGAAAAAAAGTTTTAATACCTTAAAAGTGAAGTAACAATTAGTTTTAAAGTAATTATCAAAGAACCAAGACAGATTTCTACAAGAATGAACATAGCTTTACACAAAGACATACATATGAGATGTAGTGATTGAAAACTTCTAAGACTAAAATGACATAAAAAACATATTAACTGGAGGGGGAGGAGCCAAGATGGCAATGTGAGTAGGGCAGCGGAAATCTCCTCCCAAGACCTTATATATTTTTGAAAATACAACAAATACAACTATTCCTAAAAGAGAGATCAGTACAGTACAGTACAACAGCCAGGCTACATCCACATCTGTGAGAAATCAGCACCTCATGAAGGGGGTAAGATACAAGCCGCAGCCCAGCAGGACCCAAGTGCTCCTCCCACCCCAGCTGCCTGGCAGGAGGAAGGGAGTCAGAACGGGGAGGGAGTGGGAGCCCAGGACTGCTAAATAACCAACTCTAGTAATCTGCACCGGAATCACAGACACACATTGCATGGTGTGCTGGATATTAGAGAAATGGGAAAGTAAAATCTGCGAGTAGGTCCCCGCAGCCATCTCCCCTGAAATAAAAGAAAAGCGAGTGATTTTTGAAAGTCTTAAAGGGACAGGGGCCTCAGAGCTGGAGGGAAGCATCCTGGCACACTCAACCCAGCAGGTTGGGAATTTTGAGGAACTTCAGGTGCCCCAGATGCCTGGGTGGCAATGCACCCATGAATCCCCTCATGGAAATGGGCAGCCTGCCAGTAATTCCCCCGGATGGCGCAGCCCCGACACAGCAGTCAAGCAGTAGAAGAGTGGCCGCGCACACCTGTGGTGGCGGAGCAGCCAGAGAGTGGCTGCTCCCACAGCAACTGCCCATAATCTCCCAGCATGCAGCCACCGGGCCAGACCCAGAGGCTGCCTCTGGGGTGCACCTGACTGGTGTAGGCAGAAGAAGCCGGGGCAAGGCACAAAGGGGTGCCGTTCTTTCAGGAGAGCACGGCCAGTGGTCCTGCCACTCCCTACATGGCTCTAGGAAACCTGATGGTGACACTACCTTTGGCAGCTTAGGGGATTAATCTGGAGGCTGCTCCAGGTGTGTGGGTAACTGACACAGGCAGCAGAGAAGGGCAAGGCAACCAATAAGCAGGAAAGGACATTGTTCTCCCAGGTGACACATGGGCTATCTGCCTGCAGCTACCTCTATTGCCATGAAAAGGCAGAAGAATTTGGTCCAGTACAGAATTACCCAGACAACCCCAGAGAGAGGGCCTGGGGAGATAGATTTAACCAATCTTCCTGAAAAAGAATTCAAAATAAAGGTCATAACCATGCTGATGGACCTGCAGAGAAATATGCAAGAGCTAATGGATCAAGTTGGGAGGGAGAATACAGAAATAAACAATCTCTGGAAGGACTAAAGAGTAGACTGGATGAGGTGCAAGAGGCCATTAGTGGAATAGAAATCAGATAACAGGAACACAGAGAATCAGAGAGAGATAAAACAATGTCCAGGAATGAAAGAATATTAAGAGAAATGTGTGAACAATCTAAATGGAACAATATTCGCATTATAGGAGTCCCAGAAGAAGAAGAAAGAAAAAGGGATAGAAAGTATTTTTGAAGAAATAATTGCTGAAAACTTCCCCAAACTGCGGAAGGAAATAGTCTCTCAGACCATGGAAGCACACGTATCTCCCAACATAAGGGAACCAAGGAGGACAACACCAAGACATATAATAATTAAAATGGGAAATATCAAAGACAAGGACAGAGTATGAAAAGCAGAGAGAGAGACAAAACAGATCACCTACAAAGGAAAATCCATCAGGCTATCATCAGACTTCTCAACAGAAATCTTACAGGCCAAAAGAGAATGGCATGACATATTTAATGCAAGGAAACAGAAGGGCCTTCAACCAAGAATACTGTATCCACAATGATTATTATTCAAATATGAAGGAGGGATTAAACAATTCCCAGACAAGAAAAAGTTGAGGGAATTTGCCTCCCACAAACCACCTCTACAGGATATTTTAGAGGGACTGCTCTAGATGTAAGAACTCCTAAGAATAAATAGATGTCAACAGAGAAAATGAAAGCACAGCAAAGAAAGCAGACCAACCAAATACTTACTAAAGGCAAAAAATAAAATCAACAATCCAC